GTTGGCGATGCACAAGATGTGACGAGTTGTGTGCTACCTGCGATAAAACAAATGGGAATTGCACAAGTTGTGTTGGTGGATGTGGCTTCAATGGTAAAGGATGCTCATTGTGTCCAGCTGGGTATTTTTCACCTGGTGGAACACAATCATGCAAAACGTGTCGGGGTGGTTATTACTCGCTTGGTGGTTCTTCTGCGTGTTCAAGTTGCGATGCCACGTGTGGTAGTTGTGATAAAACAAATGGCAAATGCGCACCGTGTCGGGCGGGGACGTATCAAAGTGGCGACACTTGTGTGGAGTGTGCACCTAACTATTACTCACCAAGCTGTTCCATTTCATGTAGAAGGTGTGATACGACGTGTGTGACATGCAACTCGAGCAGTGGGTATTGCACATCGTGTCAAGGTGGATATGCCACCACCAACAAAGTGTGTACAATGTGTGCAAGTGGATATTACGAGCACAATAACGCATGCAAACAATGTAAGAATGGGACGCATTCGTCGACAAGTGGGAGCACTGTATGTGCGCCGTGTCAGGGCGGGTATTACAGTCTGATTGGGGATTCCGAGTGTGTACATTGTGATGATCTGTGTGGTGATCACTGTGATGCTGCAAGTGGGAAGTGTCTGAGTTGCATAAGTGGATATGTCTTACAACCAATGGGAGAGTGTGTTGGATGTGAAAGTGGGCAATATGCAAATGCAGCAACAAACAGCTGCAAGTTGTGTGCTGCTGGAACGTATTCAAAGCAGAATGCGCCGTCGTGCACAAATTGTGGTGATGGGACGTATTCCAAAGAAGGTGCCACCAGCTGTACCGCATGCGCATCTGTTTGCAACACTTGTGACAAAACAACTGGCGTGTGTCTGACATGCTATTCAGGGTATCAACTGAATGCTTTGCAGAGCTGTGAGATATGCCAACGTTGGACATACTCATATGGCAAAAATTGTGTTGAATGTGAAGAGATGAAATACCAAAGTGAAAAGGGGCAGTCTCTCTGTCTTGCATGCAACACAGACTGCGCGTCATGTGATAAAACAGATGGGAAGTGCACAACATGCAAAGCTGGATATGGCTACGATAGTGGAATTTGCACGTTGTGTCATGATGGTTATTATTCCACAGGTGGGAATGGAAGTTGCATAGCGTGTCCAGTTATTTGTGATAATTGCATCAAAAAGAGTGGCGCGTGTTCGTCGTGTTCATCTGGTTATAAAAAAGTTGGAGATAATTGTACATCTTGTGCATCAAATGGGAATTGCAATTCGTGTGATTCAAACGAAAATGAGAGCAACAGGGTGTGTGTTGAATGTGCAGAGAAATACTTTTTAAATGAAGAACACAACAGATGCTACTTGTACAACACAATTGATCCCAACTGTGACAAATGTTCACGGAATGCAAAGGTGTGTGTTGCATGCAGCGAAAAATTTGTGACAGATTGCACTTCGTGTTACAAATGTGATGCAAGCAAAGTCAAAATCGACACACAAAGTTGCATGAAGTGCTTTGACGCCATCAACAACTGCAACAGTTGCATTTTCACAAACACCAATTTTGTATGTGTTGGGTGTTTTGCGCCATATGTTGTGTCAACTAACAGCAAGTCGTGTGTGTTGGGTTACACTGAAGGTACTCATTACAACTACGGCACAAACAAATCAACATTAAATGATGGCAACTGTGTAAGACAGGTGAACACAACGTGTATACAATGCGAAAACACTCTGCTTGTCAACGGGAGTTGCATTGGTGTTGATAACAACTGCGTACGACACTCGACAACGACGTGTGATGTGTGTGCAACAGAAACCATCACAACAGCAAACTGTGGAGAAACCACAAATAACTGCAAATACACAAAAGTTGTGAGTGGCGTTGGCGAGTGTCTCCAATGCAAAAGTGATAACCTGTGTGGACTGCAACAGCAGCACTGCGCAATATCAAACAACTCGTTTTGTTATTTGGCAGTAACTGGATATTCTTCGACAACAAATGGAATAATGGAGTGTGTGAGTGGCACACTATGTATTCAATTTGAAAACAATGAAATTGATTGTAAATGTGCAAATCTATATGTGTTTGATAGCAATTACAAATGTCATGACGATGTCAAATGCAGCACAATGAAGTCGATTTATTGTGTTGGATGCGTCACAAATCACCACATTGAAGACTACACGTGCACACAAAACACAATTGCAAACTGCGAAATCCAAAACAAAGACATCTGCATCAAATGTGATGCAACTACAATCACATCAGATGGGAAGTGTTACTCAACTGACAATTTGGATTGCGCCAAGTTTCATGGTTTGTTCAAAAAGTGTTCAGCAGACAAATACAAAACACTTGAGAAATGTGAGTTGATTGAAACACATTTCCCGTCATCCCAGTCAGTTGTTGGAAAACACCGTGCTGAGTGTAAATATAACAACAATTTAATCAACGGCATTTGTGTGACAAACACACTACAAAACACAACAAACAATTATTTTAAATCCATTTCAAATCAATTGCAAAACACACAACAAAAAAATATAAAAGTGGTACCAAAACATTATTAAAATCGGAACAAAACGACGAGTCGAATTGCATTGAAAAGAGTTCAAAAGGGTGTTTGCGATGTGCTGACATGTATTACATCGAAAACGGCGTTTGTGTGCAGTGCGAGTACCCCTGCATACACTGCTCAAATCTGACATTCTGCACAAAGTGTGACCGATACTCCTATCCTAACACAAACGGCAATTGCACAACACTTGGAGAAATCATTACAACGTGTCTGGTGATGATGCCAAATTACGATGGATGTGCTATTTGCAAAGATGGATACAAACGATCCACCGATGGCACAAGTTGTGACAAATGCGATGAATCGTGTGAAAAGTGTGATGTCTTCGGCAACTGCATTGACTGCAACAACACATTCTATCGCATTGATACAAGTGACAAATACTGCAGACCACAAAGTGAGTTAATTGGATGTCTCAACACAAGCATATATGGCTGCTTGATATGTGAATATGGGTACTATATACACACAAATGTGTGTGATAAGTGTGATAACAACTGCACACTCTGCACATCACCGACAGAGTGCACAAGTTGTATTGCAACACACATTTTAGTCGACTCACAGTGTGTCCAATTTTCAACCATTTCAAATTGCATTTCTGCATCAAACAACAAGTGCGCACAATGTGCTGATAATTTCAAAGTCAATACAGAAGGCACTCAATGCAATAAAAAGACGAACTATGGCTTGGTCGTAGTACTTCTTGTTGTTTTGACATTATTATTTTTGGTATTTCTTTTTGTAGTGACATATACAAATTTTTATCTGTTTAATAAAAAGCAGAAGAAAGACAGAGAAAGGGGTGTTTGTGTATTTCCAATGAAAAAATCGAATATTTTAATGAAAGTACTTGGAAACAACATTTTTACTAATAAGACTGAAATTTGTTTTAATGAAGTTGATGATTTTGAAGATTTGCTTAAAGTCAATGTTGAAAGTCGAGAACTTCTATGTGTTGGAAACTCTTCAAAAGGTGTTTTAAAAATTCAAATCACCACACAAAGTTCTTCTGAGAAATACACAATCAGAACAGAGCCAAAAATAGTGAGTTTGAAGAGTGGATTTGCATGTGAATTTGAAGTCTTTTTAACTCCCCATTGTACACTCACTTTGGAAGACAAAATTGCTGTTGTTACTTTGGATATATCAACAGGGGGAATGGCGACTTTCCCAATAAACTTGTTTGTCAAAACAGAGAAGACGACGCGACTTGACTTCGATGATATTGTTGAAGAGAAGAAACTTGGGGAAGGGTCTTTTGGTATTGTGTATAAAGGAAATTACAGAGGAAATGTTGTAGCGATTAAAAAGATGAAACAAATTGAAAATTCATTAGATGACAATTCGATTGATGAATTTACAAAGGAAGTTGGAATGCTTGACAAATTCCGCAGTGAGTATATCATTCACTTTTATGGAGCTGTTTTTATACCAAGCAAAGTGTGTATGGTCACCGAATTTGCACAATACGGGTCGTTACAAGATTTGATGAAACACAAAACAAGTGATGAAGTTGATATGAACCTGAGGATAAAAATTATGACGGATGCGGCAAAGGGAATATCATATTTGCATGAAAATGGGATACTGCACAGAGACATCAAACCAGACAACATTCTTGTGTTATCACTCGATTCAAATGAAAACGTGAATGCAAAATTGACTGACTTTGGGTCAAGTAGAAATATCAATTTGTTAATGACAAATATGACATTCACAAAAGGTGTTGGAACACCAAAGTATATGGCGCCCGAAATCTTGAACAAAGAGAAATTCATCAAAAGTGCTGATATTTTTCGTTTGGAATTACAATGTATGAAGTGGTTGGGTGGTGTAAAGCATACCCAACAGAGACTTTTAAGTTTCCATGGAAAATTGCGGAGTTTGTGATGTCAGGAAAGCGACTTGAAAGACGTGAAAATATATACGTCAATTTGTATGAAATTATTCAAGCGTGTTGGGTTCGAGAAAAAGCAAACAGAGTCTCCATTGATGAAATAGTTAATATGCTAATAATATGATTTTTTTGGTTTTTTATAAACTGTTTTTTATTAGTTAATTTTGTATTTTAAAATTTCTAAAGTATTGTAAAGGGGCAGAAAAAACCGATGTTGGAGAAAAAGCTATGTTGCTAAAATAATAGTAATTTAATAACACTTTTATAGTTTATTGTATAGTTTATTTTTCCACTTTTCCGCAATTTGATTCAAAAAACAAGGTTAACATAACTTAATTTCTTTTTTTCGAAATGTAAAAAATCATTTTTGAGATTATACATTATTTATTCTTGTAAAGATAAGGTTGAATTTGCCGAAAGACAAAAGGGAAGCATAAAATAACGACTTCTCAACTGTTCTTTGAAGCAAGAAAAATATAAAAATTGGCTAAAAAACAATAAAAAGTTTTTAAAAGTTGAATAATGTTTTCAATATTATTTTTCATTTTTAGCATAAATACAAAAACTTTTAATCAAAACCCCGTCAGTGTACCTTTTTTTCACACCCCTTAACTTTAACTTTTATTTTTTTACATGCTATTTATCGTTCATAAAACACAAACTCCACTATCTAATCAATTACATATCAAACAACTTAATAAACGTATCAATATTCACGCTCTTTCAATGTAACAACTTTTCATTTCTTTGATCAAAGACCGACTGCACCTTTATTTCACACCCCCTCTTGATCGATTCCTCATTCGATCAGAAATGCAGTCCACGGCCAAACTTGAAAAACGTTCTTTCAAAAGCTACACCACACAAAGTTGAGTGCATCCATTCCCAGCCCTTTTTTGAGTCCCTGTCAAACAAATGAAATACAGAGCTCCTTTTTATAATCAATTAATTTTTTGAAACTTTTTTCAAAAATCGAAGCATAATCAAAAAACTGGAGAAAAATAACAAAATGAAACGATTTTTTAATTAGAAACATCGAACATCGGTAATATTCCGTTTCATGTGTCCATTTATTTTTTCCCTGTTTTTTAAATTTTTTGAACAAAACCTCAACTTTTTGTGGCAAATATCATTTATGGTCAAAGTTTAATGGTTGTTTATAAAGAACTTGGTCAAACATCGGTTTTTGGTGCCGTTCATGGGAAAAATAAAAAGACGGGGAAAATAGAGTGGGTTATCCGAAATGGAGGCAACCAAATCTTGGTGGTTAATAAAACAATAAAAATCGTGTTTTTTATGTTAAGTTAGTAAAATACTATTTGTATGCCGTGAAAAAACTCAATTATTTTTTGTATTTTTTAATGGCATTTTATTATTTTTGTTCAGAATTTAGTGTTGATTGATTTGAGTTTGGTAATAAAAAGGTCAACATCGGTTTTAAGAAATGTTGTTGAATTTTTTAAATTTCAACTCGGCAAAACGCAAATAATGTCCAATTTTAAGCAAAACTTTATTTAAAATGGTAAAACATCGGTTTTTTCCGCCGTAATAAAGACTTGCACAAAAGTGCATTTTATTAAAAAATTCTAGTTAAGTGTTGAAAAAATGACTTAATTGATACTTAATATGTAATTCAATGCACAAACAGTCAATGCAAACACAACTGAAGAGCGCTTGGGCAAGTCTTTGAAATACCATTATCATAAAAATAAAAGATTATTTATTATAAGAGTATCTTGTGTATCAATATAGATTTCAAGTGTTTTTATTATCAAATATATCACGCTATATTTTGGGTTTTTAGACCAATTGTTGATAATCATAAAACAAATAACTATTGTAGTTAATAAAAATACTATTAAATAATAAAAAATGTCTCGAAAAAAAATAAAAATTTGATAACTTAATATGTGCAAACTCTTATCAGTAAACCTTGCAGTCGCTAAGGCACTAACTTAACACGAAGCCAAAGAATTACAAAATGAAGTGTTCGTTATGTGTTATATAAATTAAATCATTGATAAACTATCATGATTTAATATTTTAATAATTTAGTTTGTATAATTTAAACTATAGCTATTAATCATATAACATGGTTTATAAAAACAAACAAAAATATATTAATGTGATTCTATTATGATATAATAATAAATTATTTCAAAAACTATTCATAATACTATATAGAATAAATATTTAATAATTTATAATAAAAATATTATGAAATTATTCCAAATAAATGTTTTTGACCATTTTGGGCAAAATTATTTAAAGAAATAATTAGTAATTTAAATATTAAAATAAATCATTTAAAAATAATGTTTAAAATTAAAGTTATTTATTATTATAATTTTTAATATTTTATTTTTATAAAAAACATAAACTTTGTAAAAAAACTAAACAACAATGCGATAAAATTTCATCGCAAAATAAAAAACAAATCCATCGAAACAAAATAATCAGAATAACACCAAAATTATTTAAACAATCACATAATAATTAACAAAATCAATTTTATTGTTAAAAACAACAATCAATAATTAACACAACTATTTTTGTTGAAATATATTCTAAAGTTTCAAATAAAATCAAAAATACACGTTTAATAATTGAGTGTTTATAACAATCTTTATTTTTCATCAATGTCTCATAGCCCAATGATATCAAAACCTCCGAAAGTTAAACATGTGTATAAAACACAAGATGAAAAATTGCAAAGTTTAGTGAACACAATGAAAAAACCTTTAATACCACAGTATATTAATGTGATTGATTATTTAAAAGAAATCCCAGATATGATTATTTTTTTAATAATCTTGAGATCAAAGTTAAATCCATGGCATTTGATTCTTTCCGTCAACAAGTACGTTATTGTTTAAAGGAATTGCCAGAAAATGTTTCAAAAATATTAAAAGAAAAAAATGTCTTTTCCCATTGCACTTGACTATTTTTTCGGGACTTTCGAAAGAAAAAGTGTTCGTTGTCAAATTGACAAAATAAATAACAAAATAAAACTGGTAAAAAACCCAAAAAAGGACGAAAAAGACTACTAAATGACGAAGAAATTATTGCGATACAAAACGCAATAAAAGATAGTAAGACAAAAAAAGCAACACGTGAAGAAGCAAGTTTTTTTATTCACGAAAATTTCGACAAAAATATTGGGTCCAAGCAATTGCACAAAATTATGACCCATATTCCAGATGTTGCACCAGTAATGGAAGCAAAACGGGCAGAAGTTACACCCGAGTCAATTTTGCAATATTACACCGAATTGAAAAAGAAAATTGACGGGTGTTGTTTTGAGCTTATTTTTAACCTCGATGAAGTTGGATTCGACCAATGGGTCGATTCTCATTCGAAAATTGTCTATGCAGAAGTTTCTAGAGGACAAGATGTGTTTAATGAAGTTGAAAGAGAAAGTTCCAGAACAAGTCTTTTGTGTTGTGGATGCCTCGATGGAACCAAAATGATTTCACTTGTGGTAACAAATAGACTTTCTCTGGAAGATGTTGCTATTATATCCCTTAAAAGTCGGGCTTTAATAAGGACACAAAAATCAGGTGTTTTGAATACTGAATTATACACCCTCTGGTTAAAAAAAGTGTTCTTCCCGACAATTAAGGCAAAAAGAGAACAAATGGGTGTGCGTGCCGATATGAAAGCTTTCCTAATTCTTGATGGGTTTTCAGGCCATTTTTATGAAGAAATTCAAAATTTATTTTTGGAAAATCATGTAGAAATGATTAAGGAGGTCCCTCACAGTTCCCATTTATGTCAACCAATGGACTTGGGAATATTCGGGAACCAAAAGAAATTTTTGGCGGACAAAAACAATTATCTTTGTCACAAATTCACTTTATTAAAAAAAGAAGGAAAAAATGTTGAAAAAAGTGGGAAATTGCTTCAAATAGATTCCCCAGAGTTCAAACAAGCAATGAAAAAATATATTAACATGTCTGAAGAGGAAAAAATTAGAGAGCTAATCTATTCCTGGGAGTGTGTGGCAAATGGAGACAATGTCACGAGCTCTTTTAAACAAGCAGGAATATCATTTGTGCCACACACTCCCAGTGAAAGCGAGCTTCAGGAGATACAAAAGAAGTCGCCAAATTACAATATTTCAGATTACATAACGGGAGTAAAAGTGGACATGAATGGGGCAAGAGAAGTCTGCAAATTCTTGGGTATGGCTGCAGAACCTAAAGTTGTTGGAGCGACCAGAGTTGCTCTCGAAAATTATGAAGACAGAAAAAAACGTCTTCAACGTGAGAAACTCACCAACACCAGGAAGCAAAGTCAAGCCAAAAAACCCAGAAAACCCGAAAAATAACTGCGGTTTTAAGTCTTATTTATTGTCGCAAACCTTTTTTTATAATTAAATAAAGTATTTGTTATATGTTAATAATATTAATATAATTTAAAATAGTAATATTTTAATCTGAGTATTATATATTAAAACACTCAACAATAACGACAATTTAAAAATAAATTTGATACATTATAAAATAAATAGTATAAAAAAATAATATTTTAATTATCAAAATTTGATTTACAACAAAAATGGGTATAAAAAAGTTTAGAAAATCTGAAATCAAACAATCATTAAAACTGAGAAGAAAACGCGTTTGTTTATCATGATTTTGAACACTGTCAAATAATGAACTTGGGAAATTAAGAACGAAAAAAATAATGAGAAAGTCGTATATACATACAAATAATTATTATTCAACGACAACATATATATTACTGTCCGGAATCACCAGAAGAGACGTTTGTTTTATTCAATAATGTTTAAAAGCATAGATTTCAAAATAACAACTTAGGTTATTACAGCTGATTAGTTTATGAAAGGGAAAAGTTCCAAAAAGAAAAAACACAGAAAACAAAGTGATCAACAAATTACATCGTGATTAATCGTAACTAACGAAAATATAAACCATCTCGTTAATTGTGTTAAACGAACTGTTTATTATACTTTGTTTAATTTGTACGGGTTTTGTCTCCATAAATCCAACTATTAATATCACTTTATAAATAGTTCAATGGGTTTCCCGATTACATTAAACAAATACATGTATTATATTATGTATTCTCCCTAATATAAATATATTATTAACAACATATTCGAAACACTTCTAAATAATACTCAGGCAAAGCAAAAATGTTGGTTTTATTTTTTTTTAAAAAAGGAAAAAAAACAAATAACAAAATAATAATTAAAAAACATTTTACCTATTGTTACCAACTTTATACAACATCGCTTTTTTCCAATATCGGTTTTTTCAGCCCCTTTATTCTATGTTTTTTATTAAAAAAACAAAAAATCAGGAATACAAACTTTATTTAAAGAATATCTTTTTGTTCACAAAAAAACATAAAAAACAAATTGACTAATAAAAAATCAAAAATTGGACTGATTTTATTATGTAGTCACAAATATTCAAGGAATTGTTATTTTATATATGAAAAAATACTCCAAACATAAAAATGTTCACTTTAAAATTAATAATTAATGCTTTCAAGTTTAGTGACAACATCATTGATTCCGAGTCTTTTGTAGACATCTTGACACCACATATCGTTCACGATGTCGTATATGTCTTTTTTCATATGAAATATTTTTTTCAGGCGTTTTCCACTTGCAACAAAGTCGACAATGTCCCATGCAAACTTAAATCGTATTTTGGGATATGGTTCTTTCCATGTCACACATTCAAACAAAGAAACACCAAACGAATAGACATCAGCTGGTTTCTTGTATTTCTCTTTGTTCAAGATTTCGGGCGCCATATACTTTGGTGTTCCAACACCTTTTGTGAATGTCATATTTGTCATTAACAAATTGATATTTCTACTTGACCCAAAGTCAGTCAATTTTGCATTCACGTTTTCATTTGAATCGAGTGATAACACAAGAATGTTGTCTGGTTTGATGTCTCTGTGCAGTATCCCATTTTCATGCAAATATGATATTCCCTTTGCCGCATCCGTCATAATTTTTATCCTCAGGTTCATATCAACTTCATCACTTGTTTTGTGTTTCATCAAATCTTGTAACGACCCGTATTGTGCAAATTCAGTAACCATACACACTTTGCTTGGTATAAAAACAGCTCCATAAAAGTGAACGATATATTTACTGCGGAATTTATCTAACATGGAAACTTCATTGTTGAATTCTACCATTGACTTGGTATCATTAAAAATAGTTTTCATCTTTTTAATTGCAACGATATTTCCTCTAAAACTTCCTTGGTACACAACTCCGAAAGATCCTTCACCAATTTTCTTGTCTTCACTTAATTCATCATAATCAATTCTTGTTGATTGTTGTGTCACACCAACAAGTGATATTTTATTGTATTTCTCTGCGTTTGTTTTGAAATTTTTAGAAATTAATTGGATTGTGCTGTTGATTTTGCAAGAACACAACGGTTTGATATTTACAGAAAACTCACATGCAAAGCCATTTTTAAGTGTGACAACTTCTGGGTCAACACGAATTGTAAACTTTGTGATGTTAGATGATATTGTAAATTGAATTTTGATGGTGTTTTTGTTTGTGTTTCCAACACATAACACCTGCCGAGTCTCTTTGTTAACTTCAATTTGTTCAATGTCTGAATTTAAGTCGATCAGATCAATAGAAACACTGACACCACCTTGAAGAGTAACAAATTTAATGTTGGATTTGTTCATTGCAAAGAGTGTCGTTGTCTTCTCTATTTCGTGTTTGTGAATTTTGTTAAAAATAATCTTAGTTACAATGACAATTGTCACAATCAAAACAAATAACACAATCAGAACAAACATGACTACAACTAGAATGACCCACCAAACAGCTTGTGACTTACACGATGCGCCATCTTCACTTGGGACGTTCCAAAATGAACATTTTGAACATTTCAATTTTGTTATTTCTTGACATTTTGCTATTTGTGAAAAACCAACACAACTTCCATTTGCAATTAACACACGTGAATTAATACATGAAGTGCATTTGTTGCTTGATAATGTACATGAATAGCAGTTGTCATCACACCTTTGATACTCGTTTGTGTTGACTGTATAATACCCATCTTTACACTTTGAACACCCACTTTGTGTAACTTTTATTGCACACCCAATGATATTACGTTGTGGCAAACAGTCACCGCCATTTGTTTTGTAATTAGTTGAATTGCAAGTGAGACAACTATATTTGTTATTGCATGTGCCACACTTTGGATCACATTCATAACAATCAAAACCAACTCTGTAATACCCGTCTTTACATACAACACAACCACTTCCAAAACTCGCAAATTGGTTACATGTAAATTTCAAGTCTTCATTTGTGTTGCAATTGTAATTTGACAAATACATGTTTTGTGGACAACTGAGACACTTTGTTGATTCTTCAAAACACGTCAAACAACTTGAATTACAATTTACACATTGTTTTGTTGACTCATCAAAATAAAAAACTTCAGCACACGTTAAACACCTTAAACTGTTATGTACAATACAATTTTGTTCTTTGATATTGTTACATGTATTATTAGATAAAACATGTTCACTTTTACATTCATTACATTTTTCATTTGATTGTAGCATACAATTATCAATCATTGTTGTGCATTTGCCGTTTTGGTCATTAGGATTTACACAAATAATGTTTTCACACTTTCCGTTAGTGTTCATTTGACTTGAATTGTCACATTTTGTTATTTTTCCATTTTCACACAGTTCAGAATTTGTGTATAATTCATTACACTTCAAACAATTTGTTGTGTTTAATACAAAACCCATATTACATGAAATTGTGTTAATGTTTGTTATCACTTCACTGTTAAAATCACTTTTTACACACTTGCCATTGTTGTTAATATACCCATTGTTTGTGTTGCATATTTGGCACATTCCATCCAATTGTACAAGTAAACAAGTCGCATTACTTACACATAAATTATCTTTTAATAAAAAACCAGTTGAACATTTAAAGCATGTATTTGATATAGAATATTCACAATTTGCAATTTGTTCACATTTTGAGTTAACAACAGCAAATTGATTTTTGCAAGATAAACAATTAATTTTATTAAAGGGACAATACTTACAATTCACATCATCACAAAAGGTTGGGTCTTCGCACATTTTAGACGTTTTGTTGTATACACCATTTGTGCATCTTAAAACAAGTATTTTAAAATTATCATTTGTGTTTATTGCTGCGTTGAATTGTTCATCTTTATAAGTCAATATTGTCTCTGAAACTACAAGAACAATCTTTGTCAATGTAAATAGATTAATATCGACTGTTTTTAATGTTGAAATACCCAGAATTACATTGTCACTTTTGTAAAATGATATTTGTGTGCTTCCAATTGAAACACTTTCTGATGAAAACACATCACTATATTTTAAATTTGTATTTAAACTTGTTTTGGTTGGATCGATTTCAACATATAGTGAAGTTACGTTTTGAAGTGGGGTGATATACCAGTCTTCTTTGTCGTCACATGGACAGAAAGGTTCACTGTATTCTAATATTTTGTTTTTTACACTCAACATGACAGAATATTTTATTTGAAGTACCATATCTCAACAATTTACCATTCAACAACAATTTAGTACCAGCTAACGTTTTATCATTAATTGCTTTCTGTGAACATAACACATCAAAATCATTTTCTGATTGTACGGTTGAGTTGGTTATATTTAATGGGGTTGAACCTGAATAAAACACAACGGGAAGATCTCTGATATCCCTATTATGTACAACAATTGTTGAATTTATAAACACAAATTCATTAATTACACTTATGAAAGATTTACCAGTCACATTTAAAACGCTAGTATAACGGAAACTATCAATATTTGAACAACTTTGGTAACAGCTTACATATTGTAACGACTTTGTAATAATTTGAACTGAATCTGCCATTCCATTTAATGTTATTACACCGCCTTTGTGAACATAAAATGAACCTACACTGTTAATTTTCGATAAATTGTTTAATGATAAATATGCTTTATTAACTCTGATTGCACTATTAAGTGAACAAATGTTTATTTCAGTGTAATTGTATAATATCATATGTGCTTCATCATTTATTAATAACCCAGTATTTTGATTTGAATCAATGTTAATTCCAGAAAAATCATATAACATTACTTGTGCTTTATTATAAACTAATAACTCTCCAACATAACTAGAATTTATATTAATTTTGGAATTATGGTATAACATTAAATTTGAAATTTCACGAATATACAACCTTCCATAATTATTTGACTTAATGTTAATTTTAGAATAATTGTATAACATTAATCGTGATTCATCATTTACGTAGATATCTCCATCATGTGTATCAATGTTAATTTCAGAATAATTGAATAACTTTGTTTGTGCTTCATTTCTAATAACTATTTTTCCACTAGCAAAATTAAATTTAATTTTCGAATGATTATATAACATTACTTGTGTTTTATTATTAATGTAAAAATATTTAATACCTGAAATAAAGTCAATTGCAGAATAATTGTATAACATAACTTGTGCTTTATCATATATATATAAATATCTATTAAGATATGATTTAAAAATAATTTCGGAATTATCGTATAACATTACTTGTGCATCATTCATAATGTATAAAAACAAGCATTCCTTTATTTTTGAATATGAATTCATTACCAAAGTCGAATAAACATACAACTTATTTGTTATATTTATCATTGAATTGTTGTTCATTGTTAACATAGAAAAGTCGTTAAAATAAACATCTTTCGAAGTGTTAATAATTGCATTTTGATTCATAACAACCAAGACAGTGTCATTGAAATATATAATATTTTTTAATGATAACCTTGATTTGTCTTTGATTGTTAATTGAGAATATCCCATCATCATAATATTATTGTAACTGTCCCAATGCGCTGTTTCACACATTATAACACTGGAATACTGTTGGAAATAAATTATATTTATTGTTATTAATTGTGAGTTATTATTCAATTCCAATTTGGTTGCATCGTAAAAGTTAGTTTCTTGTGTCAAATTTAAACTTGATTTGTCATATTGAACAATAGAGCCATTATTTACACAAGTTACACTGCCATTCATTTGTACATTTGCATTTGATATCATTTTGAACTGAATGAAATCAGAAGATAAAATGTTACCAATTGTTATGTTATTGAATGCTGTACATGTATCAGATAGTGTAACATTTTTCAAAATAGTGTCCGAAAAACTGCAAATTTGTGAAGATGTAAAATTAAGTAAACTTAACAATATATAAATGTTAACGGGTATATACAACTTATTCATTATGATAATTAAAAGTTTTAACATTCATTTTATACTTTTTACATTATTCTATCACTTTGAATAAAGTAATTATATATAATGGTCAGACACATAAAAAATTTAATAAGTTTCTATTGATAATTATTACTTAAAATAATAGTTTTCTTTAACTTTTTGTCTAACCACTTTTGAATTTGTAATTATAACATTCAAACACAACTAAAATAATACACCTTATTATTGTACAATTTATTATGAATGTTGTGTTCCAAATCATTGTCAAAATTTAAAAGAACCCAATTTTATAAATAGTAACTTAAAATGTATAGTGTATAAAAATATTAAAGCAAATAATGATTTATACAAAATTATAAACAATTTTTAATGATACCCCTTAAATAACATTAAATGTTAACCGTATTTATTATTAATTTGAAAAGGTACAAAAAAACTATTGTATTTTTATTAAAATCAAAATATAAACATTTGCATTTTTATACATTAAAGAACTTTTGATAACTTGTAAAACACAATTTTATCGAAATTAAGCATTCAATGTCAAATTAGTTGTTTTTTAAATCATAACATTTTGATATAAAAGTCCAAAATTTAAACAAATATTCCATTTTTAACTGATTTTATTTTATAACAACATTTCATTGTTGTAAATTTATTGTTTAAAAAAGATATTTTTTTATAATTATATTAACAATACATTAATTTAACAATATTTCCATCATGTTTATTTAACTAAAAATCGTTTTACAACAAAGAAATTTCATTGCTATTAAAAAATTCTATTTGTATATAATAACAAATTGTAAATAATTATATAGTTCAATACATTATATATTGAATATAAATTGGATTATTCAAAAAAAACTTTAAAATGATTATTTAAAATCTTTATCACAAC